GACAACAAAGGGAACCCCGGACGCAACGCAAGTACCTCCAGATTCTATCTGAACTGGTGCATTTAATATAAATTTTAACCTCATTGAGGAACTCAATGCGAGGGTTAATTAAGTGATTGATGGTTGTTCAGATCTATGCAATTGCACATATTGCTGTAAACTTGAGATTTCACATTTTCATTGTCTTAAACTAATTATTTCCTCACTTTCTGTCTTTCTGCAACTTGTGTGAATGCGTGTGTTTATGTGTTAGATTAGTTTATATGTCTTAGATTTATCCAATAAAGCCTTATTTATATTGAAAAGAGAAGTATCTTGTGTTTTGTGCTTACAAGTTAATGTCTTAAACTGCCGATCTTGTTACTGTGCTAATTAATAGTGTTTTCACTATATTTTGGATATTAATATCCATTGCAGAGTTGATGTTATACGGCTCGTTCAATGAATCGCTGGCCGTCTCAGTGATCAGCCGTAAAACAGTGATTCTGTCCAAATTCCCTTTAAAATCTTAAATGATTCCCTTTGAGCTAAATTGACCTGTTTCCCTTACAATGTCAATGGAAACCTGCTCTGGTTGCGCACGCGTGTGTGTGCGTGCGCTCTGGCTGCCAGCTCGGTTAAGTGCCCAGCGGTGGCGTGGATGAGTGGTCAGGTGTGAAATTACAAACTCTGCCCAGAATCCCATCAGCTGTTAATGCACACCCACACAGAGCAAGCTGAACTATGCGCTCCACTCGCAGCTAAACCAATATAACGAATCAAACGCCAAAATACCAACAGCACTTCGTTCTGAGACTTGTATAACAAGACCACAGCAAACGCAGAAAAAATGGGTAAAGCTGATACAGGCATACATTTGAAATGCATATACATGGATAAATTACACTTGTTCAGACTTGTCACAAAGAGATGGTGTTATGAGAAGTATAAACACATATCAGTTCTTATATATGTGACATGGTGTAGGCGAGGAAAGGCTTGTTTGCACCTGCTTTTACTGCCTTCATATAATGTCGGAGCCCACATATTAAAATGAGAATATACGAACACCACCACAATGGGTTTGCCAGATGTATAACTCAGGATTTATTTTCTTTGAGCCCCAACTTAATGAGATAAGACTGTGTCAATTAAAGGAATCAAATCTGCATAAACTGATATTTATTACAATCAAATTTACAATCAAATTTAATGTTGAATGTTGACTGCACAGTTTAGTTGACGCTGTATCCAAAAAAAAAAAACACAAAAACACGCTGCTAACCATATGTAACTAAGACGTGTCAAATCGGACCCCCGTGACTGTAACTCAAACCCACACCCACACAGATGAGCCACGGCTACAGAAGGAACATGGTGTTTGTGTATATGTGTGTGCATGCTCAATTTTGGCATTTCTTGTCTTTTTCTCTCCTTCTGTGGTTGGTTTTCATTCGAAGACCACTTTCACTGACAGCCCTATAAACAGGCTCCCACCCACAGCCAACAGCCACCCGCTCACAAACACGCATGCTTGCACATCTCCTTTATATCCGTTCTCCATACCTCATTCATTTTTTCCACCCAAACACACACTCTCATTTCGTAGTTTCCAAAAAGGCATGCTAAATGGCTCTTTATCTCTCTTGTCATCTTACAGAAATTGGTGTTACGCTTCTAACAAAGTCTATCATGACTTCATCACTGTCTCTTTGTCTGTTTTTTTAAGCAGACTCCTTCTTCAATACTAAATTTTCTAATGCTTTTTAAATCTTTCTACCTTCTCTTTTCAATCCTTCCATTGCCCTTTTTCCTCATCTATAACTCTTTTCATACTCTTCTTTCTTTCTTTTTTGGGCGTGATTACATTCCTTTTCACTTTTAAAAGTGCTGTAGGAGTACCGTGGGATATGATGGTATCAGATAGTAATACTATGGTACTTATAGTACGATACATACCATGAAAATGAGTCAGAAATGAACCTTTTAGAAGCAGTATTTACGCCCTAACACTGATTTTCTGGGACATTAATTCAACCTATACATTTCATCAAATTATGCAACACCCTGGAATTAAACCCATCATCTTGGTGTTGATAGCACCATGCTCTACTGCTTGAGCTAGTTACACACAATATTGTCTGTTTATGTAGTTTAACTGAATCATTCAAATAAAATAAATGCTTAATATGGACAATTATTGCTCTTAATAATAAAATTAACATTAAAGGTCCCCTGAAATGCTTAGAAACACGCAGCGTTACTCTATGTGTTGACGTCATTTTAACTGAAACAAGAAGGCAGGGCGGGACATATCAAGCAGCCCCACCCCTTTTTAAAATAGCCAATAGCATTCGTTTATATCACAGCTTGGGCTAGAGCCGTTCAGAGCCGTTGAGCTCCGTAAAGCCGCAGGGTATGCCAGCTCAAATGAAAAATTGTGTGTTTGATTGGTCCAGACGCTACAGATGTGACAGCAAAAAAATAGTTGAGCCGTTTTGGCGGAAGTGACGAACTGCAAGCTTTGAATGCTTATATCTTCTAAATGCGAATTTTGTCACTGTTTTGGAGCACACTACCTTATAGATAACCTTAAGACTAACATATTGATACTAACACCCAAAAAACTTTAATTTTGATTTCATGGGGACTTTAAGTAACAAATATAAAAGTAGCTGCAAAGATACCACACTAAATGTTCTGCAAAATATATACATACTGCAACCTGTGCTAAGGCTGCATTTATTTGAACAAAACAGTATACAGAATAACTGTTTTTTTTATTTCAATATATTTTAAAGGGATAGTTCATCCCAAAATTAAAATTCTGTCATTAATTACTCACCCTCATGTCGTTCCAAACCTGTAAGACCTTCGTTCATCTTCGAAACACAAATTAAGATATTTATGATGAAACCCGAGAGCTTTCTGATGCTGCACAGACAGCAACACAACTGACACGTTCAAGGCCCAGAAAGGTAGTAAGGACATCATTAAAATAGTCTGTGTGATAGTGTTAATTTCGTCAACGAAGACGACGACGAAAAATATTCGTTAACGAACATTTTTTCTGTGACTAAGACGAGACGTTGACGAGCTAAAACTAATATCTGATGACGAAATTATGACGAAATTTATGCCGTGTCTTCGTTAACTAGACAAGATGGGACTATATGTTATTTGAGGACTACAGGACATTCAAAATACATCCTATAGAATCGGCTAACTGTCCTCTTTCAAAATGTGCATCCCTGTCATTAGATTGCAATCGGATAAGGGGCGTTTGCATATATCTAGTCTCAGTATGGCAGCCGCAGTGGACAGATAGGCTAATAAAATGCGAACTAGCGATCTGAAACAATGGCCTTAGCACCCGAAGGGGTAGGGATAAGGTGACCAGACATCCCGTTTTTCCCGGGAGTCACAATTCGTTGTCGATTAACTTAAAGTTAGTGAAGGCGGGATAGGCAGAATTGCTCTGATAGCATTGCTCTCTCTCGCGCACGCTCCACTTCTTCAGTTCTCATATACAGGGTGCGATCAGTTCTGAGAGCTCAAATACACACAGCGGTCCAAATGTCTAAACCAGTGTTTCCCAACCTATTTTTAGTCGCGGCACCCTTTGGAAATTTTAATAAACTTGTGGCACCCTACCTTCGTCAGCAGCACCACAGGCATGCGTCGTGGTACAGTCATGAATGTGCATCGAAGACTGGCACGGAAGAGAAGAAATTGCTGAATCATGTCATTATTTTTGTTTTCTTTGCACACAAAAAGTATTCTCGTACAGTAGCTTCATAACATTACGGTTGAACCACTGATGTCACATGGACTATTTTAACGATGTCCTTACCCCCAACTTTTGAATGATAATGTATTACAAACAGACATAAAAATAATGCCTCTGATTTTCTTTTTTGTTATTATTTCTTCATTATGAAATTGAATACAAACCTTTAGGCTACATGTCAGTGAAGGCATAAACACTTAACCTGGTTAATTTCTCATACTGAACGATTGCCTTCACAAACATGCTATTACCATGATGGAAAAAAACCCCAAAAAAACATGGTACTACCTTAGTATCATGTTAAAAAAAGCCTTGTTATTTTTTGTGTCTTTAATCTTATCCTTCAGTATTCCATTCATCTTTCTCTTTTCCTCCATCTTTTACTCCATTATCTCCCCAATGTTTCCTTTTGTTGCGCTTTTTCTCCAGCTGTCCTTTGTCACTTTGGTTTCTTGTGTCCCTTGGCCACTCACCTCAAATAATCTCAACAACCAGCAGCCACGTCTCCCTCCTCCCAAAGTGGAATCTCTGTTTTCATTTCTATGCTCTCTCTTTCTTTCTCTCGACTGAAATGGGAGTTGTCGCTCTCCTCTCAGTAGTAGGTTAATGGGGTGTTGTAGATAGTTGGCTTGCCCTCTGGAGCATGACATCTCTTTCTCACACCTGGTTCCAGCACCCAGCGGCCCCATACTATAGCAGACATGCTGCTAGTTTTCCGGCTGGTTGGGCAGTCCAGTACCCTCTGATCTGCAGTCCCCCCGGCCAGCCCAAACATCCGCAGCCCTCGTATATAACTGACCACTAGCGCTCCAGAACGTCATGGCTGAATAGCCTGAAGCTGTAGATGGGATCTTTGCCTGTGGATTTGTGTGAACTGTTGAAGGAAAGTTCTGTAGGAGGTTGATTCGTGCATATAAATGTGTGGGTACAGTGTGCGTTAGTTAATTGGGGTTTGTTTGGTGATATTCGTGTGTGTGAAAGAGAGCAAATGTTGCATTTAGCCTTAGGTGCTTTTCTGGAAACTGTTAGCGCTGTATTGCTTTCATTGGTCGGCGTGGAGGGTAAGGTTAAGACTGTGAGCACAAGTGGGCGTCGTGACTGACAGATCCGCATTTTATTTTACATAAACAATTCTTTAAAAGGCTCAAAGCTCGGATCAGGAAAAAAAAAACACACACACACACACATGCAACTCTGGTCCTTATGAACTGTGCAAAGAATTTAGAAAAAGCCAAAAGCGAAGTGTATTTACTCCTAGTCGTGCACAAACACCATTTTTCAGGAGAGGGAGACAGTGGCTGTGATCAAAGGTGGTAGTCATGCAGAAAGTTATTTTCACAGGTTAATTTGTGTGATAAATCTTTCTCTTACACACATGTGGGGCTGGCGAGAGTGGGTGATAAGACACAAACCACTTCCATTACTGTAGAGTGTCCTTTGCTGTCTTTCAAGTTCACACTGAACTTTGCAGGGCTAAGAAAGAGCCATACAGCACAAGGAAGCATTTATATGAAGGTACCACAGCTCCAAGATCAATTCTATGATAATTCAAACTGTATTGAAGGTTTTCAGTTCTGGTGGATCTAGATGGATGTTAAACAGATGTAAAGACACTGGAATTTGCTACACACTGCTTTCCTGATGGGTTTATTGTCTGTTGTATTTACTCAAATAAATAATTATTTGTCTGCATTTAACTCCACACATTGGATATGGCTTTTCTTATCATTTAATTCAACTGTAAACTAATCATACACTTTGAGAACACCACAAAATATTTTTTCAAAGTTATAAATAAAGATTATTGGAGTGCATTTACAAGGAAAACAGTATTTCAGTCTTGCTACTTCAAAATTTCATGTTTAGTTCAATGTATTTGCTTGCCATTTCTTTGTAATTATTTGTGAAATTCACTAGTAATTGTTGGAAACAAATCTAAGTAAATCCTACTCTAAACTGAATTGAGTGAAACACTGGATTTGCAGTTAACTACTATCTAATATTAGCACATGTTAGCATGTTAAATTAAATGCACATTTTTTTATTTATTATTATTATTATTTATTTTTTATTTTTTCATGGAAACACAAGGAAGAGGAGACTGAGCACTGCATTTGGCATTTACACAATTAATGCTCTTTGATTAAAGCAAATTGGAGGACAAATTTGTTACACAAGTCTGTGTTCAACCTCTATTCTTCATCACAATGAAAACCCACACAACTCCAATATAGCAGAACATTAAACACCAATACGTCCACTGCTGCATCTCAATACTATCTGTCCTAAATACCACAGTATTCAGAATTATAATTAATTGTTCCCGCATGAAAGACCCACGACTCTGCCATTTCATCAATGTGGTACTTCTTTTCTTTTTAAGTTGAATGAACTGTAGCACAAATTAAAATGAACTAAATTGTGGAGTGTGTATATGAGGACATTAACTGTTACAAGATGATTGACAGGCCAGTTTAGGGTGACAGTATGTATGTAATATGCGACAGCGTGGTCTGTTAAAGACACAATTAGGAGAGCAGCAGTACTGTATATCCCAAATCGTCTTCAAAATGTACTCAAAAGTATACTTATTTACAAAAAGAGTGCATACTTTTAGGGCATAGTATACACTCTTAAAAATAAAGGTTCTTTATTGGCATCAATGGTACCACAAAGACCCTTTACCATCCATGGAAACTTTACATTCCACAAAAGGTTTTTGCAGTGAAAAAATTTTCTTTAGATTATTAAAATGTTGTTCACACTAAGAAAAAAATGGTTATTTTAAGAACTGTTCACTGAAAGGTTCTTTGGGGAACCAAAACTGTTTCTTCTATGGCATCACGGTGAAAATGTCTCAGGTTACGTATGTAACCATGGTTCCTCGAGGGAACGAGACGCTGCGTCGGAGGACGCTTCGGGAACGCCCTTCAGCGTGACCGGCTCTGAACCTCTTGTGTAATCAGTCCAATAGATGGGCGAGACGTCACGGGCGGGTGACGTAATGACCAGGAAGCTATAAAAGCACGTGTGGTGAGACCAGCGTCAGCTTCTAGGAGTGAAGCAAGCGCTGGCAGAGATGCCGAAAGTATGGCCCCACGTCTGTACCATGGCATCCAGCCCCAGTGGAGCTGGATGACTCAGAGAGAACCAGAGGGGACAGTGCGATGTCATCTGAGTCGCAAACAGGTCCACCTGGGCCTGGCCAAAAACTCTCCATATCTGCTTCACCACCCTGGGGTGAAGCATCCATTCCCTGGGCCTCGGCCCCTGCATCGACAGGATGTCTGCTCCCAAATTGAGATGTCCAGAAATGTAAACTGCTCTCAGCGAGAGAAGTTTGCCCTGGGACCACACAAGGATCTGGTCTACGTGCCTTGTAGAGATCGCCTTCTCTGACTCTCGCGATTGCGTTAAGGATCGACTCGATCAGAGCAGGGGACATACGTGCCTGCATCGTGGTCGAATCCCACACTACGCCAAGATAAGTGGTCCTATGTAATGGAGAAAGCACACTCTTCTTGGCATTTAGTCTTAACCCCAGCTCTCGGGTGAGAGTGCAAGGCCGAAAGGAAGAACACAATATTGGTACGCTTTGCCCGCAAAATCAAACCTCAGGACCTTCCTGTGAGTGGGAAGGATGGCTACATGGAAGTATGCGTCTTTTAGATCGATCGTGACAAACCAGTCCTCGGACCTGATCTGAGACACGACTTGATTGAGAGTGAGCATCCTGAACTTCAGTCGCATGACTGAGCGGTTCAACTGACGCAGATCTAAAATGGGACGCAACCCTCCATCCTTCTTCGGAACTATGAAGTACCGGCTGTAGAACCCGGACTGTCTTGCATGAGGAGGGACCACCTCGATGGCCTCCTTCCTCAAAAAAGTAACTACTTCTTGTTCCATGACCAGAGCCTGCTCGGGGCCCACCAGCGTGGGTGTAAACCCGTTGAAACTAGGCGGAGGAGAACCAAACTGGATTCTGTAGCCCTTCTCTACAGTGTGCAGGATCCACTGAGACACATTTGGCAGTAGTTTCCACGCTGGCAGACTGATCTCCTGAGGGCACTGAGGAGAGACGGGCACCATGTAATGCGGTGTACACCGCTCTTCCCCAGAGGGGCCTGCCCCCCGAGGTCCTGATCCACAGCATCAGGACTCTCATAGCTGACGCCTCCTATTGGAAACGACGGCCCTCAGACCCACGTCGTCT